TGATGATGAATCCATATTAAATCCATTTGCTGTTCGCATTAATAAAGATGGAACAAATGCAGAAAGCATTGACAAAGATGTTGGAGTATTTCCTGTGGCTGATGATGATGATTGAGGTAGTTGTGGTAGTGGTGGTGGTAGAATAGGTAATAAAAATGATTGTTGATCAGATGATGATTTATTTTCATTTAAAGGAGAATTTGCTGTAGATGATGATGATGAAGATGAAGATGGCGTTTTTGATTCAAGTGAATTTGATGGATCATTCGGTAACGAACTGCATGGTGATAGAGAAGGTTTTTGATCCTAAAAAAAATAGATCAATAAATGTAATCTATCTATATCATAATAGTAAGAAGATAAATTTTTTTGTTCTATGTGAAGAAACCATTTCAACTATTTGGCCATAAAAGTGAATTAATCAATCCACTTCTATTCATGAATAAAAATTCTTACCATATTAGCTGCAGCAGCAGCAACTGCAGCTGCAATTTGTTGTTTTTGAGCATCAGCCAAAATTTGAACAATTTTTTGATGTGTTGCTGGATCGGTATGTTTAGTACTTACAGCTGGATATGGATTGTCTTTTGAACCTTGATATAGATTTTTTGAAAAAAAAGGAAATTCATATTATTTAAATTTAATTAGTTATTTTTTGTTTTGTTACTTACGATTATTCATACCTTTGCGTGGACTAATACTTTTTAATGTTAATATACTTTCTTCTGAATTTGCCCAACACCACATTTTTCTATAACTTTCTTTTCCTTTTTCTGTTAATTTTGACCAACATTTTGGTTTAGATAATAATTCACTAACTGTACCTTGTGATAAACTTAATATATAACGAGCAAATATTCGTTGACCTATATTATGTTGTGCAAGAAGTTTTCGTACAACATTTGCAACGTATGTTGTATCAAGTGGTTCAAGTATACTGGCATTGGCATTGTTATTATTATTATTATTTGTGGATGCTGTTGATGGCACAAGAATTGTTGGTGATGGTGATGGTTTAGGTGAATTTGGTTTTGACGATTTAATTACTGTTCGATTATCTGTAGATGTTGTTGCAATACTTGATACACCTGATGATGTAGATAATGATGGGCTCCAGGATGATGTTGGTGGACAATGAAGTTTTGTACATTGGACGGATGAAAGTTGTTGACCTGAGAAAAAAAAGAAGAAATGATTATCTTTTATTTTGTTTTTTAATATTTTACCTGGAAAAAGATTGGACGGCGTTAATGATGTTGTTGTAGTTGTTGTTTGAACTGATGAAAGAAGTGAAGCAGTTGGAGTTACCATTGTTGAACATGATGAAGCAATTGATGGATATTTTGAATTTGTTGAATTACATAATTGTAGATTTTCTTTTGATGCACTTGTTATTATTGAAAGTGATGATGAAGATGGCGGTGGTGGAAGAAATTTTGTTGATGAATCATTTAATGATCGTGTTAAATCATCATTACCATTACAGATTGCTGTTGTTGTTGTTGTTGATTGTGAATGATTTTTTAAATAAATTTGAGATGGTGACGAAGGAGAGGAAGATGAATTCGACGATGAAGAAGCTGATGATGATGAAAGAAGTGATGGTACAGGTAAAAATGGAGTATTTGTTTGATGTAAACATGGAGAAGTACAATGACGACATGAATGTTGATGATTAGTATTACCTAATAAAATAGATAAGTTTCTATAACATATATCTATACAATCTTAAAAATTATCTCGTCTTTTTTTTCTTCTTCTTCTTCTCTGTCGTACAAAACGTTTGATCAGAAGAAAAAAACAACCAATCAAAGTGTATGGTTATATGAACTTACTTTCTGAATCAATTTGTGATACTTTCATTTGTATTTGTTCAGTTTTTAATGGTCGATTTTTTTCTAATAATAATATTTCTAAAGCTTTTTTAGGTAAATTTTCTGTTTGATCTTCATTTAAACGTGTTGATGTTGGAAATTCCATTGTTTTTAATACACTATAAGTGATGTAAAAAGAAAATGATGATGGATGAAATTCTTATGATAAAATCCGTCACTCACGTCAATTCTCGTTTGATTTCATCGTAATCGGCTTGACTTTGTAATTTACTTTCTAGTTGTGTAATTAATTTTTCTTTTCCACTTACAACATTTTCAAGATCAGAAATCTGAAATAATTATAGAAAGATAAATATGATTCATTTTTTTTTTTTCCCGTTCTCTTTAGCGAGAATTCTTTTTTTTCTTTTTCTTACCTGAGTAAATGATGTTTCTTTTAGTTTAATCAATGCTGATTGTAATTTTTGTGTTTCAACAACAAGTGTAGCTATTTGATGTTCTTTAGATAATAATTCATGCTCAAGTTTTTCACGTAATTTCCGTTTTGTTTCTTCTTGTGAAATCAATTCATCAGAATTATTATTTGTTGTTCGTGTTTGTTCAAGTTCTTCACGTAATTTATTAACTAATCGCTCAGCATTTGTTACTCTCTATAAAACCAAAAAAAATGTGTTAAGAATACAAATATTTTTTTCAATTTACCTCATTTGCTTGTTCTAAATCTTGATTAAATATATCAATATTAGATGAAGATGTATCTTCTTGTTTTGTTTTATATTCAAACATATCTTGATGAATATGATTTAATGCTGCTGATTGATGCATTTCCATTTGTGCATATTTTTTCAGAAGATTTAATTGATGGTTTTTATCAGCTAGACAAACAGAATGTAACCAAACATGTAAAAAATAAAATCTATTTATTTAGATGATTGTCTTATCAGTTATAGAATAAAAAACAAAGGCTGAAGAAAAAAAACGATATGCATACCGAAGATATGTTGAAAGTCTTCTTTGTCTTTGATATGATGATGATCCTAGAAAGAAATCATTTCAATAAAGAGATTTTCTTTTCTTTATTTTTTTTTCAATAAAAGAATAATTATTGTCTCAAACTCAATAAACTTTTCCTTCGTTATATTTTTATTCTATTCAATAGAAAAAACTTTCTCCTTCCGGTTATAGTCTTTTAAAAAATTTACTTCGGTTTTATTATTCTTTTATATTATCGAAATAGAATTCTTTTTCTTTTTTTTTTTTCTATATACTAATAAAGACAAAGGAAAAAAAAAAAAGATAAAAATTTGCTAGTATTATTACTTCTGTTTTTTCTTCTAAATCTTTGATTTTATCATGTACTTGCTTGATTGTCAATTCTATTATTATAATTTGTAAATTATTTTTTTGATTTTTTTTTTGTTATTCTTTACCGTGACTTCTTACATCAGCTAGTTCGTCTAAAATAAATTTGATTAAAATAAATGATTTTTTAAGATAAGTGCAGTTATTTTACCTAATGTTTCGCGTATTTTTTGATTTTGTATATCTAAATCAGAGATTTTTTCGATTCGTTTTTGTATCGTTTGAATGTATTCAATAGCTGGCACCGGATCTTTTATAAATGATCAAAATGAAGAAGAAGAAGAAGAAAAAAACGTAAGATAAGAAAGAAAAAAAAAATATTAAATTTTTACCTGGTAATTCACTTAAATGTTGATAAATTTCTAAGAAAGATTTTTCCGTAATATTGCTTCGTTTTGATAAACTATCAAGTTCGATCTGGAACGATTTTAATATAGGTGTAATGGCTTTGCACACATCCTACACATAACATAAGTGACAAAGTCAACACTTTTATGTAAAGAGAGAGAGAGAGAAAAAAAGAAGAAGAAGAAGAAATGTCGAAGATATGATGATGTTGTTATCGATTTACAGTATAAGTGTGTGTTTAGAGAGAGGCAACAATTTCTTTTTTGTAACTCAGCTCACAAACACTAGCAATGATGATGATTAGAAAGAGTATCGCACAAAAAAAATGACGATGATGATGATGATAAGGTGTCGGTCGGTTTTCTCTCTCTCTCTATGTCTATTCTATTTTTTTTTTCAAGAGGACTATGCGTGTCGTCGTCTATCTATCGCTCGCATTTATGAAAGAGGAAGACGAGACAGGTGATAGATAGATTTCTTTTTTTTCTTCTTCTTCTCTCTTTTGTATTCTCTAAATGCAGGCAGGTGTTTACTAAAAGAATATAGAAAATCGCGTGCTATACTTGTCGTTTTATTTCTCTTTCTCTCTCTCTCTCT